CTGATAACTGTTCAACAGAGGGAGAGATGGACACCTAATCAGCGTACCAGCGTGGCTGCTAACAGCCACTTTTCATATTCGACAAAAGCCCCAATTAAGATCCCACCTGTCCCAGGTGACAGGTGCAGCAGCAACAGGCTGGGATGTCTGCCGTTTTCACAGCAATGTCTCAAACCACAGTCACGTTGTAGCATCTTGCTTTAGTCAAGTTCCTTAAAAGCTGAAACCCATTTCCATCAGCCGTTTTCTACCACACGGAAGAAATCTACAATAACACACCTTACTATGGCAGAAATATGATATACACTGCACTATTTTCATGTTTAATATACATTAAAGTACCCGTTTAGGAGATACACGATGGCTCAGGTACACCTAAAGTCCCAACAAGCACAATGGAGCCAGGAACTATAGCTCACCTCAATGGAAAGCAGTTCTTCTCAACGTCATCAAATACACCTGAGCTTTTCCTGCCACGCCACAATGTTTTGCTGTGTTTAATTAACTCCCCACAATAACACAGTAACTGTCATCAAGTCAAGAAGAAACAGCTGGTCAAAATAAACTGTGGCTGCTTTTGGACACACTGAAAAAAACCTCCTCAGGTTTAGGAAACAGACCCGCTTGGTTAGGTTTGGAAAAGATCCATGGTCCGAGTTAAACTAAACCCTTTCATGGCAGAAAGCACTGAAGGCAAACTTCTCCCGTGTGCTCTGGGTCTCCGACAACTCCTGAGAAAATATGTCTTGGTCTTAACTTTCTCAAAGACACCACCAGCTGACGTTAGATGCTATCTCTGGCTGTTTGCTGACCAGCAAGTAGAGATTATTTGCTACTTTGTTACCGTCTGTCTCCATGCTGTCACTTTATTCAAAACCCTGAGTTTGCACTCTTAAAGTGGATTTGCATGGTTTATTCTGCATTACACTGAAGCGTATTCCTACATTTAACCCTTTCAACATCACCCTCACAGTAACCACCTTGGGCATTCACACATTTCTCTTACTTGTGTCGTTTTCTGTCGCTACCTGGAGAACCTGTCTTCCCACGTTGGTGGTGTCCATGCTGGAAGGGCCGGAAGGCGATGCTCCTTAACGACCCGTCCTCCGCCGGCGGCTCCTCCAGCCTGAGCTGAGGGATGAGATACCCAAAGGCCATGTCCTCTGTTCCAGGTGTGCGCGCTGTTGAACGACGTAGCTCACTTTCTACCTGTCAGTCCTTAGAGCGGAGGTGGGGGTACTACTCTGTGACTCACTAGGCTATACTAGCTGTTATTGACCTGCAGCTGGAGCGTCTCTGTATCTGCTCTGCTGGCTGCGAGTCGAGGTGGAACTGCCTCGTGTCGCAAAGCGGAGTCTGGGGACCCGCAGGTGTCCCAGAGAGGGTGCCCGGTGAAGTGAGACAATTGTTTCACTCACGTTGTGCCTCACTAGTCATAAGCACAATGTTTATGACTATAAACTATTTTTGAAATCTTTTTTTTTGTTGTTGCACTAATTGCACCAGAACTTTCATAGACTGAAATGTTCAAATATATAGGAGACCATTTTCATCTTTTTAAGGTGAAGAAGTACAAATTAAGATTGTCTGAGAGTATTTGCTTGGTTATAATAAGTATTATTCAATGTGTCAAGTACAAGCATCAGAGATGTGTATTAAGTGCACCCTGTCTCAGACAGAGCATTCAGATGATCCTCATCCTTAGCCCTCATAAATATGTCTATAATTGTTGTCCTCTAGGATATGAAATAAATCCATACACAAATCTATATGCAGATGTAAGTATTATTTTGTATTTAACCTATAGGCTACTTGCTGGTGTAATAGTAAAAACGTGAGTTATGCACAGCTCGGAGTCTGAAGGTGAAATCCTCAGCTGAGTGATTCTCCTCTGCAGAGTATAGAATTATGAATCTCCTTTGTCTAATTTAGCCCGCAGTTAATTTTACTTGCTTGCTCCATTAAAAGATATGGTATCATTAATTGCCTCATTTTTCAATTAGATGGACTAATAGCTTTCCGAATTAAGATTGTAGTTTACTAAATTGATATTGATGCATCGTGCTGTCCGTGTTTAACAAAGAATGAATTATTTGAATTTTAAGAAACATTGCTGGCGTCATATCTGTATCTTGTGAAGCTAGCCTGCAGACATCTTTTGACAGAGCAGCTAAAAAGGCACCGGCAGCTCGTCATAAAACACATCACAATTGTTCTTGTTAAGCAGCAATTGTTTTGTCTGAGCTATAAAGGTCAGATAAACACAACTTTAGATGAATGCTCATTTATCTGAGGTGTCATGGGTGCATTAATCATAATCGGGCTAGTCAGGCAGAATAGTATCAGGTATTTAGTTTACAATTTAGTCTCCACTATGGATCATCTCTCCACAGTCCATCTATTCACAAAGACAACTCAAGTTTTTAAAGTGGAATAGCAGTGGCGGGCGAGTGTCAAAAATAGCATGCTATTAACCTCCCTATCTAAATTCATGGCAGCTCTATAATTAGTGTTGTACAGAGAGTGAACATGCTGCAGATGTGGGTCACAGTGCAATATTCATTACCCAGAGATAATCAGTGTGAAGACACACAAAGCACTGGTAAAAGTCCACAGTGCTGTTCAAGCAGATTGACAATGTGGAAGCCAGTTCATTGCCATCAGTGGTATACTGTGCTTTTACACCATCCTTATTAAAGGAGATTGTTAAAGATAATAGGTGATACGCTCTCAGGTGGATAAAACATCTGGATAAAAGTTTTTTACTTTTTAAAATTAAAACGGGAACAGCAACATGAGAGAGCAAAATGACACTTTCGCTGCACTCCTGCACTTAGTGCACATGTAAGGCTCCACCAGAGGGAGCTATAAGCAAAGCCACTCATGTACAGTACCCACGAGCAATATTACTGTTATGCTCCTCCACTGAGCCACAGGACAACGGTGCACTGTGGCTACATACATGGACAACTTCTCTTTAACAGACCATGTTCACGGTCTAATTAGGTTATAGTTTCCTGTGGGGACCCAGGAAATGAGATCTGGTGATTAGTGATAATGTCAAGAAAGAGGAAATAATACTATCTAGGCCTCACAAACTTAGATCATAAAAAGATGACACAAACACAGCTGAACTCCTGGATAGTCATGTTCCATAATTTGCCGCCAGCTCCCCGTTTCATTTATATAGGTTACACGTGAGATTTGTGGTGAACTAATCTCAACTGATGGTGTATGATGTGTGACTTGTGATTTCTCTCGTCTCATTAAAAGCCTATCGGCGTCACAGATAACGCGAGAGCTATCCCCGATCAACACCAGGGGGTGCAATTATATAAGTGACTTCAATTATGAGGGCCTTGTGTGGCAATCTCCGAGTATTTACTTTGCAGATTATAGAGAGAGACCAAGAGCAAAATACAATTTGGTATTAATTAGGCTACAAAGCTTGCTCAGAGCAAAAAAATGTCTTATCTGTGCGATGCCATATTCTGTCACTTTTGTGTTTGGGCTAATTAGAGAGTAAGTGTCCGTGTTAATCCATAATTGTGACACATCACGCTATTAGATGATTTGCAGCACCATATGATGTGTCCTAAATAGGCACGAGAAATTGTGTAAATAAAACATATTATCTAGAAGACTGGAAGTCACTTTCTTGAGTTTTCCGATGGTCCGAGCTTTAACCAAGCGACGTCGACGCAAAATATGCACGCACTGGTAGGTGTGTCTGTGTGTGTGGAATTGTGTGCGTGGGCATAGCCAGTGACACGGGTTTGTGACAGTGCCATCACACATGGCTAATCATGTGGAACAATGTGCACAGAGGCATGGAACAGAGAAGGGGAGAAATGTTATCTGGCCTCAAAAATGTGATCTTGCTTGATATGGATGCTGTGTTTTGAAAAGATGCAAATCAAGCAAGTAGTCTACAGCCGACTCCTCAACAAACAGATGTCGAGGAACGCGCTGGTAATTTTACTATACCCCATGGCTTGCTCTCGTGTTTCTTCCACTCGTTCAACCCACTTTTGTGACTACTTGTCATACCTTTTGTGTGCGTCCTTGAAGTAAAGATAAAGTGGCATCCTGTCTCTTTCACCAGGGTTGACACTGACAGTCCATCTTGGCAGTTCAATACATTGTCAACATGAGAAGAACTTTTCAGAGGGAGGAGGTAAATGTCAGTCAATAAGTGGCTGACAGGTCAATAGATATCGCTGACCTTGTTGCAGCCGGCTCGAGTGGCACGTTGAAAGGCTGGAGATGGAGAGAGACTGTTGAGGAGGAAGGAGAAGGAGGAGCCCCCTAAGCCTGCATCCTCAGCCGCTATAAGGCCACTGGCCAGTATGGGCTTAGTTATACTGCTGTATATAAGGGGATCTGTAACAGAACACATTAAATGCCCATACCAGTGTTGTTGAATGTTGAAGCCATGTATTACGGTAAGGGAACATTCCAATGAAGGTGCTTACCAGTGCAGATGCAGAAGACATTCATCAGGTTTCCGGGTTGTTTTTGGCCTGTGAATTGCATGAAACGAATATCTTTATGTAACCGTTCTAAGAATACTGAGAGTCTACAACCTCTGCACTCAAGTACAGCAGTGCTTTGAGCTCAATGCTCAAACAGTAGCATTGTGGACAAGACATTGCTAACATGCTGATGTTTAGCAGGTATTCTGTTTACCATCTCCATCTAAGCACTAAACACAAAGTACAGCAGATGGCTGATGGAAATTTGATTTCCTTCTAAACCACGAGTGTCAACCTGATGGTGCTGCTGTCAAGGTTGAGATATTCTCAGGATAAAGTGAAATATTTGACCTGGTGTGGCACGACCGGAAAATGCATGTCCCCTGGGTGATGTAGCTCAGAGGAGATAACACACATTTATACATCTATCTCACTCAGGTTAAATGTACCAAGTTGTTCTTGGTCTGTATTTACTCTTTTCAGAGAGGCCAAACTCCAAATCAAGATGCCACAAGACCAGTTAAGTTGTCATTGAATATTTTATTTGCAAATGAAAGAGTAATAACTCAGAAGTCGTAAAAATATACATTTTTTTACTTGTGATATTTACATGGATTGTTTTCATCAAACGAACAAACAAACAAAAAAAATCTGTACTGTTTTATAAATCCAAAGAGAAGCCACGGCAGAAAAACGGATGAGAGTAAGGAAAACAAAAGTGTCTTACATTTCCCTTTAGTGACGCCGCGCTGAGCGTGTCTCCCCCTGACATCCAAACAATGTAGTCAGGAGAAACAGCCAACCACACAGATCCCACACAGGCCGGTGATGAGCATAGCACACAAAAAAAGTGCAAAGTACATGGATGATAAATTGAAGATGAAGAAGAAGACAAAAATAAAGCTTCATAAAATTTTCTGTGAATATATTTACAATTGTAGATTTTCTTTTTTCGTTTTTTTTATTATATTTTCCTATTTTTAGCCGAATACAGTTATGTTACATCAAAGCAAAGCATTCCCGTTCGTCTGCTCAATCTCCTATGACATGCAGGTACCTTTGCTTTCTTTCCTTGAGGTTGACTACAGCCCCTCCATCTCCTCTCTCAAAAGTAACAATGCATCACATTCCCCTATACTGACATACAAGGCCAAACCACAAAGTCTGAGCATCACTTTGCCCTGCTCAAAAGCTTCAATCAGAAATAAAACTGCCTAATAGAACATAAAACATAGTGGCTACATGAGATTCACACTCCTATCATATAACGCAGGATAACCATTTAATGATTTCATGTTTACTGCACCTCTGAGTGTTGATAATAAGACAATATATAGTGCTGATGGTTACTGTTTTAAAGAATGATATTGGATGTGCCGCTTACACTCTGAGGTGCTTTAAGACTTCCCTCCTCCACCCTCTGCTGAAGTGACAAAAGCTCGTTAAAATTCATTTGTTGGAAAGAGCGCAAGTTTGTCAGGCCACAAAGCTGCACACATGAGAGGAGAGACGCAACGCGAGGGCTCATAAACTGGGGAATCTGCCACCTGAGACTTGCCGTCGCTGGAAAGCAAATCAAAAAGCTTGGAGGAATTTAACAGCTGGAAGACTTGCATCCCGTCCTCTCCACCTCCACTGCTACTTTCGTCGGCGGTGGAGGGAATTTCAATGGCAAGAGCCTACAGCCCTGGCCCAAAATCAATCCTGTTATACCTCTCCTGATTCCCAGTACCACTCTCGCACATTCCCATGTAAGAAAAAGTCCTTAAGCGTATGCTATCCAGATAGTTAAGATGCATAGCAGAGTTTGTATTTTCGAGTGCATGTGTGTTTGCATGCACGTGTGTGTGTGTGTGTGTGTTTGTGTGTGGGCGCACATGTCCCCTGGGTGATGTAGAGTGTCCCTTTCTGTGCTGCATTCGGTATCCTGGTTCCATCAGTCAGTCGTAATACCTCCAGACATTCAATCCATCAAATTGATTCTGAAGGAGCAGAAATAACAAGGACTGCTGTTTGGGCTTTTGTTTGTGCAAACCGTGTGTGTGTGTGTGTGTGTGTGTGAGAGCGCATGCGTGCATGTGCAAACTGTGAATGTGCATTAAGCACACACCTGTTTTTCCGTGCGGACCTGAATGTGCCACGTGTACCTGTTTATGTGTGTGTGTATATACAACTTTGACCTGTTTTGTATTTTGTTTGTGTGTGTGTGTGTATATGTGTGTGCCTTGAGATGCCATTTAGTACACCCAGGGCCAAGTGCATTCTATGTTAAGAGACAGCAAGAGCAAGGAGAGAGCGTACAAGTGGCCTCCAGAGCTGACAATATTATGAATTATGGACGTGCTTTGTCTCGAGACACCACCCCCGCAAGCAAAAACATGACTGCTGCCTGTGAAGCCGAGTTCAACAGGCATAGAAGTCAGTGAATACTGAAATAAACACTGCCAGTCTGCAGTCACATCAATTTGGATAGAGGTTACTTTGCCTGACTGGATCCTTCTCACTCTTTGAATGGCTAACATGAGGATGTGTGGGTGTGGCCCAAGGGCTTATACTGAATTTACATGCACACACCCACACAGACACACTCGCACACATTCACAAACATGCATGCATGCACGCAAGCACGCACACACAGACACACGCGCACACAGTAGCTTCCCTGCTCAAATATGAACCGCTGTCTCTGGTTGAATATAAAAGGCATTTTTCTCTCATCTTCCCTTACAGAGTTACAAGTCACATGTGAAATCCCCGCGCGTGAAAGTCAAACCACATGTGCTTTTCAGACAGATGTTGGTTTTCAAAAACTTTTGAGGTTGAATTACTTCATCGCTACTTCAGTGTGAGAACTTTGTTTCAGAAGTGAAACAAGGTCGAAGCCCCACTAACGGCCCAGAGAGAATAGCAACATTCAGTACAAGCTATTAGGTAATATAAGTGTTCGCCATATTGACAATTTGCTCTTCTTTGAACCAGTAATGGAGCTTCAAATGTTTAGTTTGTCCTGAGACTCATTCAAATAAACACTGCTTATTTGCTTTGACAGTATGAACAGGATCACAAAATGTACATTTGATATATCTTGTGCACATGTGGAAATTTGAGTTGGATGGCGTGCCAGACTAAAGGTCAAGGTTCACCAAAATGTTTATTATTAGTTGGCTAGAAATTCTTGCAGCAGATTTTTTATGATAATCTGGCAGTTGCTATTCAAGATCAACGCCCACATTTTGACCCGGTGATGGTGCCTGAGGAGAGGTTATGGGTTCACCAAAAATCTGTATAAATGATCCTCGGGGATCAATAACATCCATACAATATCTCATCAGAATGTGGCCAGTAGTTGTGAAGAGGTCTTGGGTTCAAATTAGGGGCTTCACTTACTTGCACAACATGTGTACAAAAAACACACGGTTTAAATTCACTTTTGGGTTTCCCATTTGACTCTTTTGCAAGGGACATATCTCCCCTCACACGCCTGTATTTATTAAATTAAATGACATCATGTGCGTATATCTATCTGTATGTACAATATAAAACAAGACTGATTACAGAATGTACAGTACATTGTCCCATGGCATGGGATTGCTTTCTCACCATGGATAATTCACTCTGCTTGGTGCTCCCTAGTTCTGCATCTGTTATTACTAGGGCAGGTTTTGTGAAGCTGTACCTCTCAGCATTTGCTACTGTTGACCCTCAAAGCTAGATGTGAACAGAGACCGAACCACTGGTGCGCTGAAGATAAGGAGAAAGAAAGAAACCAGAAGAGAAGAGGGATCGCAAAGGCACACTATATAGGCTACTTGCCCCCCTTTTTTTTAATTTTTTTTTTACTTTCAATCAAACTGCACTGGGTCCGTCTGAGGATACGACAAAGGGGGAATTGGCTGATAGCACAGCTCGACCAATAACCAAGCAGGTCTCGATGATTCAGCGAGACAGCAATCGAGTGCCACTCCATTGTTATGGATCCAGGGAGAGTACTGACAATGATACCATACACACCCTATACAATTGAAGTATCTATAGACTCATACTCCTCGCTCCCTTCATTCAGACATAGTAATTATAAAATTGAACGTCAAGGTCAATTCTTTGTGCCTTAGCTCGAATATTGATTTAGTACCTTACAGGGAGCTGAAGAGAATGGGATCCACCATCTTTGTACATCACACATTCACGGTGATAGATTTTGGTTTCAGTTCATAAATGTAGCAGGTAAACAAAAGAGTAAAAAATAAAAAGCAACAATAATGACCCATCCTAGGGATTGGTGGCACTTCTTAATATGGATGAATGGACATATAGCTGTCTGTCACCATTTACAACCTGTTTAGAGAGAAGAAACACAAGAGAACGGAAGGAAAAGAAAAGAAAAACAAGTCCAGCTGGTCTAATAGATGCTTATCCCCTATATGTAAAGTATTGACACGCTATAGGCCTAATACATACTATTTAATTATTCAGGAAAGATATTCAGTTCCAGAAAAAGATGTCTATAGATGTAGACAGGATGTGGGAGGGGGGGTATCAATTCCACTGATTGGCTCCACTGTCAATGCTACATCCGTGTACCTGAAGTTTCCCCTGCTGATTGGTAAAGCAGATGAGCTGTTTGGGAGCCAGCTGAGTCAGTCTCAAAGACCCGTCTGTGGTTTCTCACGGGTTTCGTTGTGAGAGCACGGAAGACAGAGAGCACTGAGGCAGATGATGTACACGCCGCACACTGTGTCCGTCCACATGGATGGGCACAATCGGCCCGGCCCATGGGAGGCAAAGGGGTTTGTGGTTTCAGAGCGGGTGCTGGAGGCGGCGAGTCGGAGGTGCGGGGTGACATGAATCAGAGAATCACCCCACGCCCCCCACCTCCCCTCCTCCCGGAGAGAGAAAAAAATCATCATCAGCTGTCTTACGCGCTTGCGTTCTCTTCGTCCTTGTTTCCGTCCCGCTTGTATCCATCTTGTATTGGTATCTGGCTCCGAGTTTGGATCTACTTTATCATTCTGCCTTTACTGTCTCTGTTTGTTTTTTTAACCTCTTTTTCTCCACTGCATGCCGAAACCCTTTGATTTGATATATAAATAAAAGCTGTACTACTGTAGGGGGCTCCTTCCACCTCGCTGCGCACGGTGCTTCCCTGTGCCTTCCAAAGCCACAAGACGGAACTCAGAAAAAAAAAGCTCTGCCTTTAGCGATGAGACACAAACAGCGTTGCATCTCAGGTCATGTTTTTTCTTTTGTTTTGTTGTTTTACGTAATTTAATAGGGGGCAAGCATGTCTTATTTTCCCTTTTTAAGTACGCATTCATTTAAAGTACTTTTGGACTTATAGTATTGATTCTTTTAATTACATCCTTTTAACTAGTTGCATTTCTTTGTTTATGGAAGAGTCTTAGTCTTTGGGAGGGGGCTAGGGGGCTTGGGCTGGGCTGGGAGTTTCACATGGCTGCAGGAAGTGGTTGGCTTTCAGTCCTACACAGTCTGAAAGGCCTTGGTCTGGGCAGGGACCATGAGGGTTGGGGGTGTGGGCCCAGACGTGTTCCTGGAGTTGTATTTGGGAGTGGCAGGGGGCTCGGGGGTCTTGGGCACCACTGTGGTGTAGGCCGGAGGGGACTGGGGGAAGCCTGGAGGCTGTCCATTTTCCTTGAGAGCCGCTACAGCAGGTGGGCGGGGGCGGTGACCACGCTGGGCGCTGTTGTGCACCATGGACTGGGTGGAGGAGGCACCGGAGCGTGAGCTGCCGGAGCGGGATGAGGAGAGGGAGTTGGGCTTCACTAGCTTGGCCTTGGGAGCCTCCGCATCCTCCCTGTGGTTGGAATACACACACAAAGACACAGCAAACAATGACGACAAAGCTCCATTTATTTTAACTGTACTTCTGAAAAGAGAGCAGAGGAAAACACACACACAAACCCACACAATGGACCACACGACAGCTTTACAAAGTACCATTCCCGAACACTATTGTAAGGCTGTATTTACATGGGACCGGTATTATATTGGGACCTCGTGTAATTTATGAGATACCCCCCAGCTTCTGAGTTTTGTGAAAAACATTTGCATGGAATAATGAAATCTGCTGAAATCAATAGTTCCCCAGATACAATATTTGAATGGAGAAAAATAAAGTTTTTGCTGAGAGCACAATGAAAACTTTCCTTTATAATTCTACTTTCATGACACAAGGAGGATAAAAAATGTACAAAATCGCACAGACGAAAAGAAACTGCTTTGCAAAAACAACTTATAATTGCAAGTAACATTAATCACTGAAAATACGATAATATATGCTGTGATTCTTACTCGGATGGTATTGAAATTACAGAGGATCTTTGCAGTTATTATAAATCACTGTCACCAGGTCACCAGGGTGTGTGGGCTGCTAAGTCAGCAGGTAATATCCCATTGATATCAGGCTTATATTCTCTACAGAGAGTCAGAAATAGAAACCTCTCATCTGTGCACTGTTGGCTGCACTGCACCCTCTCAGACTCACCAGAGATGGTTCTAAAAGTCTTGAAAGAAAAAAAGAAGAAGACATTTTTAAACAGCAGGTTCCAAAGCCATACCCGAGAGATGTGCGCTACTAAAGCTGGCGTATTCTGGTTCAGCACATTAGTGGAGAGGCTCAGACTCTTAACATGATATAAAAACAGAAAACACTTCATAACATCTACATTATTTACTTAAAGCTGTCCCTCGACCATTGTGCATTATGTATTGTTACATCAGTAAATATGCACCTACTCGAATCTGACAGAAAAAAAGAAATACTCTCGCTTTTACAATCATTGGCGGTACACAGGGTCCTCTACTGCATGCAGGCTTCAGAGTGAGGAAGGAACACGAGTGTGATCCCTCAGCTCTGATGCCACACACACAAACACACACACACACACACACACACACACACACACACACTCAAGGTGGGTGTGGAAAGAAGGCCACTTTAAAGATAATCGATGAACACTTGACCTTGTAGTTGCTTTTATTTTTAGACAAACACACACACACACAGACACACACACACACACACACACGCACACACACACGCGCACACACACACACACACACACACACACACACACACACACACACAGGCACACAGGTACACAGCAAACACATTCAAGCATGGGGCTGTTGCTGTTGTCAGTTAGCATTTAGCTTGGCCGCTGCGGTTTAGAGCGGTTTCAGTTGAACTGTTTATGGGGTAACACACACACACAGGTTAACACACAGCTAAGTGCTAAGATTGGTGCTATTCCTCAACACAAGCCTGCGTTCAGCTGAACTGCAGCTAAATATTAATTCAACACGGGTGTTTCAGGGGCACGCTCTGCTAGCATGATGCTCGCATGTGCATCAAATTAAATGTTACTGTATGATTCCCCAGACATTCGACTTACTTTTCCAATATATTATTTTTCATTACATTTTAAAGCAATTGCTGAGCCGAGTCTTAGCCAGTCAGAAAGCACTGTTGCATGGAACAACATATATTTACAGTTACAGTATATGTAGGCTTGTCACGTTTTATACTTGTGTATATCAATTATTAATAACCTATATCCCCTTTTTTCCTCCTCTACAGATTTGTACTCAAACTGAGTTCCAATGCAATAGCACACTCAGCCATAAAAATGTTTTATTCTGACACTATAATTCTAGGGAATTATTTCAGTCTAGTCTGGGGCAGTGACCCGCATAAAACGGCAAGAGACATTTCGACCTAAAACTTTAATTGTAACATTAACTTCCTCATTTGCCTGCATTGGTTTTTTTATGGCTCACCTGCCAACTTTGCATACAGTATCTATATCATACAGTCTACTAAAATTCAGATAGTTCTCATGGTAAGTACGGGTGCTGCAGCACCCACATCTCCAGGTGCATCGCCCCCGGGCCCCAGGTGGCTGAGGTAGCCTATAATTGTATTGTTGCAAGATATCTCTTTTCTGTCTCATTACACTGAACGCTTCCGTCTCCCTCACCTGAGATTCCTTGTTTTTGCATGAGATATTGCATCATGTCATACATGTTTGTCAGATAATCGAAGAATGTAACTGGCCTTAAATGATTGAGGCAGATGAAAGAACACATACAGAAACACATGCGTAAGTACAGTATCTGCACTCATAATCCCACATATCCATACAATTTTAGCGTTGTAGCATGCATTTTAACTCGAACAACTAGTATTGTTAACTAGTACAAAATGGCAAAGAAAAGTGAACCAGTCACGGAAGAAAAGAGGATGTTTGAACCTGATCTCATTTGGAGTCTCCTCCTCCTCGTACTTCTTTTTCTCTTTCTTGCGGAAGACGAGCCAGATGATTAATATGACAATGAGGACACCGAGGGATATTCCCACCACGGCACCCGCTACCATACCTACATCCCTCACATCTGTGAACGTAAGAAGAGGAAGTGATGAGTGATGAGAGATAGAGTCACTTACTGTCACATATTATTCATCGTTCACAAACACTTATGGTCCATGCTCATTCGCTGGAAATATCTCAACAGTCTCTGCATTTGTGCCACAGTGCCCCAACATACAATTTAACACCTGGGCCATCAAACTGTTTCTGCTGAGCTACGATATGTGTCATTTTCTCCACACCTGACCCCAACCGTCCTGGGCCTCTCAGGAAATGTGTTAGTGTGACAGTGAAGCATAACTGTTGGAGCATAGGTGGTGACCAGTTGCCACCAGTTTAAGTTTAGCGCAGTCCCTATAGTGTTAGAGCACTGGAGGGGAGAATGGGGAGGGGGAGAGTGTGAGGATGGAAAGACAGACAGGGGAATACATGTATTTCCAGCTGCAGATTTGAAACAATAACCATCAATCAGTGCGGCAGTTTGGTGCGAGGCGAACGCTGCCATCGACTCTCCCTTCCCTCCCAAAACTCACGTTTCATTGTGACCTCAACGGTGCAGTTTTCCTCTCCCACGTCATTGCTTGCCGTGCACCTGTAGACTCCTGTGCTGTCCATGGTGAGATTCCTCAGAGTCACAAGCTCTGGGTTCTTGAGATCTGGGGAATCCAAATAAAAAAACATTTGCGTCTGCCGTATATTGTTGAGCATTTCTGCATGTTTATCCACATTGTCGGTTACATTTGCAGACAGCTGAAATGTATTTTATGGTTGAAGAAAGAGAGATAGAACAGAGAAGGGTGAGGGAGAGAGACAGAGAGAGGGAGAGAGAGATGCTGATGGAGTGCTTATTTAAGAACGAGGCCCATCACACTGAGGAGGACTTGAGGAGAGTAGCAGGAGCATGTCTGAGAGAGCGATGGAGCCCGACAGCCCCATAGGATATCTAGTCATCCCCACCAATGACAACCATGTGATATTACTTTTCACCAGAGCCATAAATAATGGCTACTGACGCTGTGTGTTATCGTCCAATGAAAACTAATTAGACTGAACAGGTGTTGTTTGGTGGAGGTCATTAATTTGAGGGTTTTTGTCTGGGCACGTGCCGTCACAGATGCCAATTGTACACTGGAGGGAAAACTGAGGCAGAGAGAGGTCGGCACCCGGGGGATGTTGATGCCGGTTTAGAGAATACACAGTAGGGAGAGTTGGCCTACCATTAGCTTTTTCTGCTATAAACTGTCTCTGTTGCTATTTAGAGGCGGATATGTCTGGTTATGATCCAAGAAGAATGCCAGAATCCACACCATGTGAATAAAGTGTGCCTCAGGGCTACTACCGAGCCAGTGTTTGTTTTTTTTTGGTACAGAACCTAGTGGGAGCTGCCAGAGCAGTTCTGTGTGTTACATTTGATTTTCTCCACTTTACACACAATCCAAGAAAACATTCAGTTTCCGGTGACTGCACGCATGCTGGTATAATTCACTTGAGCCAAGCTGACATTTCAATGTCACGGACATCTTCATCAGATTTCAGTATCAGCTGGGATCCGTGTGTTTATACAACTCATCCCAACAGAGTACAACTAGAAATCACAGGGCTGTTTTCTGTTTGATTTGCTGGGGAAAAAAACCAAAAAGGTTGTATGCATAATGTGGTCTTTTAGCTGATGGAGGAACTGGCACTGGTCTTAAGATAAGAAAGGCATGCAGAATCAGTGGTCTAATTGGGACAATCTGAGCCCATCTAAGTGCCCTTTAGTAAAGAATTGTAACTGCTAATAATCTGGTGAACGAGTTCAGAGAGCACCAGGAGAATGTCGTTGCAGTGGGCAGACATGGGTGTCAGTGTTCGCAAATGTATGAACATGAAGTTGGGAGGAGATGAAGGAAAGGCAGCGTGCTCAGCAAAAGACTTCCTTGGATGAATGCAGGCTATAAAAATCACTACTATGAACATGAATCTTCGAAGCATTTATCTGCAGAGGGCTTGAATGATGAATCAGCACATCAGTGTAGTGCCAATTATTTTCCTTACCTATCAGTGCCAGGTTTGGCAACTTGCCCAGACTCTTGCCTTTGTCCAGGACTCGCTCCCACTTGTAGTTGATGGGGTCAGAACCATCGCTGGACTTGCAGCTCAGCTTGACGTCACTGCCCTCCAGGAGTTTGCCATCCATCCAGCACCTCGGCTTGGAAGGTTTGACTGTGAGAACGCATGGGCATCAGAGACAGTTTAATACAAATGTGCTTTGTCACGTTGGTACATATACAGTATACTTATACGTTTGAGTTTTGCATTCAATTTTAATCATTTAGATGCTTTACACCTATAGTGATGTAACAGAGCAAAGTGACCGAACAAGCAAACACAGTTAAGAAAAGTAAATATTTTAAATGTCTTACATGTACTGTATCAGTATGTGTAGTTTGAAATAAAACAAATAACAAAAAAATATGGCAAATAAATTCATCTAAATTTACATACTAATAATCTAATTTGTGGATATGTAATCATTTAATTAGCCAGAGATAAAACAGGCATTGTAGTTGTTCTGCTGACAATGAATGAGAGTGGCCTGTGTGATTGAATATAGACACCTTTCCTAATTTGGAACTGTTATTGCTATCATAAAATAAAGCTTAAAAGTTCAAACAAATATACTTTGAGTTTACAAGATACATCTTCCATTCATTGTCAGTGGTTAGGCTTGTGATGCTATTACTCTCTAAGTGTCTATGAAGTAATAATAATAATAATAATAATAATACATTTTATTTATATAGCGCTTTTCATAAAACTCAAAGACACTTTACATTAAAATCATCATATATAAAAGCAATACACTAAAAACATAAAATACACAATAGTGGTCACACATTAAAAGCAGTTTTGAACAGGTGGGTTTTGATTTGAGATTTGAATGTGCAAAGGTCAGTGCAGTCTCGGATGTGTTTGGGGAGAGAGTTCCAGAGGGAGGGGGCAGATATGGAGAAGGCTCTGTCACCCCATGTCCGGTGCTTGGTCCTGAGTGGAAGAGACAGGAGGTTGGCATCAGAGGAGCGGAGCCGACGGGATGGAGTGTGGTGGTGAAGCAGGTCGGTGAGGTAGGAGGGGGCCTGATTGTGGAGGGCTTTATGAGTGAGGAGAAGGATTTTGTATTGGATCCGTTGTGGGATGGGGAGCCAGTGGAGGTTCTGGAGAACAGGGGTGATGTGGTCACGGGAGCGGGTGTGGGTGAGCAGGCGAGCAGCAGAGTTTTGGATGTACTGGAGTTTATTTAGGATTTTGGATGATGTGCCGTGGAGAATGCTGTTGCAGTAGTCAATTCTTGAGGTGATGAAGGCGTGGATCAGAGTTTCAGCAGCAGATGAGGAGAGTGATGGGCGGAGACGGGCTCTGTTTTTTAAGTGGAAAAAGGCAGTTCTGGTGATTTGTTTGACGTGGTGTTCAAAGGAGAGGTTGCTGTCGAACATGACTCCAAGGTTGCGGATGTGTGGGGAGGGAGACAGAGTGGAGTTGTCGATGGTGAGGCAGAAGTTGTGACTTATAAGTATAGGTTATAATGGATTATCTATTTAAATAAAAGTTATTCCACAATGTAAAGCCGCATATTAAAACAACACATAAAATGAAGTGACCTAATAAAAACAAAAATGACTGTTTTACATTGCACAAAGTTGAAATGTTTAACATACATTGTACACTTTATTAGAATATGTCTTTCTCCAATTCTAATAAGGGGTTAATCTAGCATCGCAGTCATTTCTCCGTGCTGGTGACACATGCAGAAAAACAACAGTCCCATAAGGGAATGAATCAATGTGACCCCAAAGCTGGCTGTGGACCCCTGTGGTGATATGTTCTCCACAGGTCAAAGGGTTTTGGTCATAGTCCAGTAGCTGGAGGCACAGTACAGTATAGCTGGTGCCTGCTAAACCCTGTGCAGCTGCTCTGTTTAGATACACGCTGAGAGACACTGCACCGCCATAAAAGCGAGAAAACAGCACACGATTTTCTCCCTCCTAAGTGATGCATTTTTAGATCAGTGGTGAGCTATTTTTAAACAGCTATTTTGTGTTTTTGTCATGCTGTCATAATAGAGATGTTGACTTTTGTGTATTTACCGTTGCAGCATAAGTAACTCTGTAATGTTGAAATGTAGAGAGTTGGTAGTAAACGGCACACACAGCCTGATAGCTTATGTGCCTTTGTCCGTCCAACCCTCTTTTCCTCCATCCCGTCCTCATCCGTGTGTGTATGTCACAGCTTTGTCAGGGTCAGTTAGGCCTAACTGCAGCACGAAACAGCCACAGACACACACACACACACACACACACAAATACAAACACAACTATGTTTGTCCACACACACAAAATACAAACACACTCAAACACACTAAATCAAAACTTCTGCACATACAACCGGACACACTTCTGTAACAAGAATGGTGCACGCATCCAGGCGTTACCGCGCAAGCTCGCAGGCGGACACAAACAGCCACCGGAGGCACGCATAAACCCCGGCGTGCACGTAAATACACTCACACGCCGTCTCATGCCAAGCCAGCTACCAGCTTGGTTGCCAAGCTATTATCTTAACGTGGGGAGCGGGAGAACAAATGCAAATGTTCGTCCCTCTCAAAATCGAAAGTGTCACCGCGAAGCTGAGGGCAATTTGTAAAAACCGAGGCACTAACTCACTGAAATGTCTTTATGGAAGAGAGAGGAGAGCGAGTGCGAGAGGATTAACAGACTGTTCCATTAGAAAACCAATAACCGCGGGTTGAACTAATTTCCCATGATGTTTTAATAAATCGCCTGCTTTTCTGACATTGAGAACGCTCTTGCTCCTCCCGCTGGACTTTGTGGCGGGCTTTTGTGGTGCAGCCGCTCCACTTTTGCTGTCTGTCCTTCAGAGTTGTTTAGCTATTTGAGATACTCAGGGAGAGACACATATTGCCACTGAGCTAGTTGTAAAGCTAAGCCATTTAGATCCATCTCTACATTGGGCAAATGAGGAAAACAAAAAGGCAAAAGAAGAGGATACAATGTAGGGACCAAAACAGGCTTTTTCTATAGTTGCAAGAGCTAAGACATGACTTGTACAAATACTTTTCCCAAGTTGCTTATCAGTGGTTACATTGGTGACAGATTCATTTTTTTCAACTACTAAATTTCACTTCGGGAAGTACCTCAAACTTAGAGCAGGGTCTGTTTTCTCATCGATCACATAGAGGACATGTATTAGCCTGTGCCACATGAAGCATTTATCTGGATGCCTGTCCATGTAACACAGACCCTAACATAATCAATCATGCTCTTCCAGACCCAGTCGCATGTCTCTGGTCTCACCTCATCAACAAACCAATCCAAACGAACCCAAACAGCATGAGCAAAATCAAATCACACTGTCTGAATCAAATTGAATCATTAGGACAGTCAGCATGACGGAGGAAATGTGCCAGGCTAATGATCCAATGACTAGGTCTTCTGTGTGTGTGCGTGTGTGTATATTTATGTATAAATGGGTTTGGGTCTCTTCATGACCTGAGTGTGTGTCTATTACAATGTGTCTGACAACACTCACCCAGCACAATGAGGTTGACCTGGCTCCAGTGGTACTTTCCCCCGGTCTTGACTTTACAATAGTATTCCCCAGAGTCGGTCAGCAGCAGGTCACTGATCAGCAGGGAGGCGTCTCCACCCAGGTACTCCCCAGCGAAGGACAGCCGGCTGGCCTCGCTGCCCGTCGCCTCATTGGTGTACACCTGGCCCCCAAAGAATGTAATGATCTGTGTACATCGGAGAGAAGGACATCAGAGAAAGATTTTATCATTGTTCTGTATTCACTGATTATTCTGATTAAATACAAAACTCTCTTGTGTGACAAGCTTCCAACGCCTTCTTCTGCATTAGTGACGGTAAACTAGCAGGTCGCTTTTGGTGATGTCAGTATTCATCTAATTAATGCAACCAATCCCCTAAATAAGGCTTTCATATTACTTAACAACACGGTGGGATAATTTACTGTAATGTCTATGTCCCAACAGTAATACCCTTGGTATATTTGACTGGTAGCCTGCCATCAACATTTACGATTACATAACTCTAATGATGGTGCACGTACAGCTCAAATGTATCCACCTAGTCCCTCACTGGGTGAACAGTGTTGAGAAAATACCAGCACTCATGGGTAACATTGCTAACAATCACTTTTTAATTAACACTTGGGAAATAATATTTTACAAATGAACGCGTTTGCTGGAAAGCCAGTATCCTGCCAGTGTTCATTTAGCTGATTATCTGTGAGCGCTGTTATCTCCTTATGCGCTTTCTACGAGTCGGAGCTGTCAAATTGACCAAATAAAAATCTATTCTGGTGCTGAGATAAAAGATTAAAGTACCCACAGTGGCACTGATTGGATGTTAGCGCTCTGGCTAAAATGAAAGGATTGAAAACTAAACAAATGTCTCACAACCCTCTAAAAAACAACATATGCTGGGATACTATATATCCAAAGTACATAGTACTTATATACAAGGTACATGTATTTTTTAACATGGGAAATTAAAAAAACAAAACACATACTGAACAGATTTACAATTATTTCAGTCTGCCGCAAATAAATTCTTTTGTTTTTATGATGTGATACTCTTATCTTGCAATTGGTTGCCAAAGTTCTGCAGTGTGGCATAAACTGCCATTAACCATTAAAGCGTATAGTGCTCACTGCATCAAAACATTTGCATACATTAGCATGTTGGCTTGCTGGCCTGCGTCATGACCCGGGGTGCCTCTGGATCACACATTTGATGTTCACAGTGAACAGCTATTGAGTATCGCAGTCAGTATTGTATTTAAGTCGGGACTGTTTGTTTGTATGTGTGTGTGTATATTTAGATTCAGATGCATAATCTGTATAGGTAAGTCTTTATGCGATTTATATATTTTTTCTGTATCATTTGCTTATCAGAGAACTTTTGCATTTGTCTAAATCACAAATCAGATAAAATACAAAACACAAAAGAAACAACGTTCAGATGAAGTGCATCTTTATCAGAACTTTGAAACAAACTAAAAGTAGGCTGGAACAGACAAAGTTGTTTGTGTTACAGTTTGTGATTTTTCATTTTTTCTTTTTACATGTATTTTTAGCACACGGTTCACTGATGTTTGCAAAAACTTGGTCTTCAAAGAAAAAATTGGATGATTTGAAACTTCACTGCAGACATCTAACATCTGTAAACCTGAACTGGAAAGCTTTCATTTTCTCATCTCTGCCTATTTATGTCTTTGTATGGCTTATTTCTATATACTCTCCTTGTTTCTCTCTCTCTCTCTCTCTCTCTCTCTCTCTCTCTCTCTCTCTCT